AGACGGAGCCTTCTTTGAAGATAGATGAAGGCTTTATTACAAACCCAAACTGACAGGATAAAAAATGGACTTGAACATGTTGCTGTCCATCTCTTGGATGCAGCAAATTAGTCAACATCTGAAGGGACTGATGCTCAGAGACAGCATGTTTGTCTCAAAAAGCTTCTATGGCTTTTGGATCAGTCAGTGTTTTTACAAAAATATGAGCCACTTTCCACTTTTTGGACTATATTTTAAAATGAGGGGAAAKATTCAAACCCTTTGTTGATCTTGATGAATTATCTGTCTAAATGGTATGGAATCTTGCTTTCATATTTGTGCTCAGCTACTTAAAAAATGTCATTTTGATATGTTTTTGTTTTTAAATTCTGGCCAACTTGAAGGCCGTCGAGTCATACTATTCTGTACAACCTTCTGTTTTTTACATTTACCAATAATTCTAATATACTGGAATATTGTACAAAAARTAGGTGTTTGTTCAGTTAAATTAATTTCTTCTTACTAAAATACACTACAGTTTCCCATTAAAAAAACAGCTATAAAAACCTGTAATTAGCTTCTAACATGTTGTCATGGCTGAAGCTGCCAGTGGCACAAAGTGGGTAAAATTAGCTCCAACTTGCCGTGGTGCAAAATTGCACAATAAGATCACACATTTTAAAAGTGATCCTTGAAGCAATTTTCACATGCTCACATTGAAGTTGTTGGTGGCAGCTTCAAATGTTCCCTCTGGCTGTGAAAAGACCCCCCGCTGTCTCAATCCACTGCAAGAGCTGGAGAACAAATTTGTAGCTGTTATTCTGAGCAACCATGTGAAATTGAGTCAAAGCTATGAGATTTCAGCACTCTTGACTTACTGTATTCAAACTGAGGATACCCATAAGTTGGGATTTTGTTATGTTACAAAGAATCCGTGTGCTGCAGCTCAGCAGAGAAATCCCTGAAACAGGATTTTGGTCCAGAAAGCCTGACTGTGGCAAAGCTGCGTTCAAATATAGCTTATAGTTTGTTGTGGATTACATCAATACTTACTCAAATACACACAAAGTCAAAATGATTCYTGAATATATACGCTGAAAAAGACGTGCGATGAACATATTGGTGTGTCAAAACCTGTTGCCTTATTGAGAGAAACTATTGAAGAACAAAAAAATAAAAGTTTGATTTTTCACATCACTGCTCGGTCTGAGCAGACTCTTCCTTCAGCCATGATCCCGCCTGCATTCCTTCCAGCTGTTATCTTGTGTTCAAAATTACCTGCATCATTTTATATAATAATGTGTAGCTCTTAAACTACAACTAAACTATCCTGAATCCTCAGGATGTGAACTGGACTTAGTGTTTTAAAGACAAAGCAAAACATGCCGACTAAATGTTTAACGCAGCTGGAGTATGGAGAACAGGTGGTCTCTGTGGGTTTTTGAGGAGGAAGCGTTGAGGGGTTTAGGTGGTCCATGCTGGGTTTCTGTTCCTCAGCTCGTCGTCCTCCAAAACCCACAGACCAGGTAAAAATGCACCTGTATTAACAGGCATTAACTCTGCAAGTCAAGAACACAAAAACTGTGTTAAAGTGCCTGTTGYCATCACATTTTTGGAATAAATATGAAGGTGTTTTTTGGAAAGATAACAATGATAACATATTACAAAAAATCCCCGCTGCTGAGATGAACAGTTGTTAAGATATGTGCATGTTAATGTTTGGTCAGCTGACTGGTGAGGCTTTTAAATCTTTGCTGAAGACCCATCTCTTTTATTTGGCTTTTGATTAAGACCGGGTTGGAGGTTCAGTTAGAGCTTTTTGTACATTATAGTGTGTTTTCTGTGTTGCATTTGTATCTATTATTAGTTTTGTTTTTGTTACAAGTCTTGACTGAACTGTAAAGCTGTAAAGTGATGYCAAAGTGTCTTCATGTGAACAGAGCATTCCTACAAAGGCTGACAACACAGACTGAAAAGAAGAATCTGATGTTTCTTTAGATTATCTTGAGTCACTAACCGAGAGATGAAGAAAAGTTAGAGTTCATATAATATTGATCCAATAAACAAAGACCATGCAGTTCACTTTCTTTAAGAACTCACCTTTGATGTCACTTCCTGTTTCATTTTGGCTAAGCGAAGTTCAAAAGAAAATATGCCAGTTATTTGACAAAATAAAAAATGTTTTTTTTTAATACAAATGTTTTATTTAAATAATTTTTGTAGTCTTTGAAGGGTATTCGAGTCACAGGCACTTAAAAGTTCCCGTTGGTCACGTTTTAACACGTTTGTGCAGTTTTTATAAATGTGTTTAAAACCAGAGAATTTATTCAACCTAATCTATTAAAAGGATTATTGTTGAATCATTTATGATTTTTATCTGCACCTAATTCCTGGTTAGACGTCCTTAGTTGAAGGTTGTGTAAGTTTTCAGCTGTTCATTTCTGTCAGCCTGAGGTTTAGATATAACACAGGGTAATCTGTTTTAGCGTTCAAACAGTTTCTGAATAGTTTTTATATTTTTTACATTAAATTACATTCCAGGTGTCTGATCAGAATCAGCTCTGTTAAACAAATAGAACCTGTCAGCAGCTTCTGTGTTTTTACATGTTGGTCAGCTGATGATAGGAAAATGCTGTTTTAGTTGCTTTTAATGGACTGGTTAATACTTCTACAACCTGTGACCACACCAATCTTATTTACAGTAAATAACAGGTGGATACAACCCAAATAACTCTCCTGAGCAAATCTAGTTTTTATCATCTCTTCAGTTTTCTTTTGCTCATTAATTGTTACATCATTCCTCAAGGATATTTATAATCTGTACACAATATGAATATCACTCACTTTTGCATTGACACAAATCAGAGTCAGAGATCGCTTTGTTTAGATTTTAAATGCAGAGCAAACTTCATGTTTTTTAACCTGATAGGAGAATTACAGAATGATCCCAGAAAAGGCTAATCAGGTGTGAAATATGAAAGCCTGTAACAGTTTAATAAAAGGATGTCTGTGTAAACACTCACGTTTAAACAAAACTTTTTTTTAAACTGAACAGAAAGGTGTGTCCAAGGTTTTGACAGTGCAGAATCTGAAAGATTTCTTTATTGTAATTTATTATAAAAGACTGACAGAACTCAGGGAAATCTGAGTACACCAGGGGCGATTCTGAAGACCAGAACAGAGTGGCTGTGAACTTTAGGCCTTCAGGTGAAAAAAAGATTCAGTTCCATCAAATGCACCGGTTCATTGATGCTTTCTGAGCGCCACAGTTCAGCTCTGCAGCCAAAATACGTGACCTAGAGTTTTAAAATAAAACAAAAAAATTTAAAAACACACAAGATTCAAAAAGCACCGTGGCCTTGTCTTGACCTGAGCTCATTTATAACTGCTGAGGTGAAGTGTCTGTGGTTCGAAGAAAGAAAAACTCCAATCTGTCTCTTTTTTGTTTTGTTTTTTTAATCATAGACTTTATTCCTCAGACCAGGGTTCCTGCAGATTCTTAAAGTCTTTAAAAGGCATTGAATTCATTAATCCAAAAATAAAACCTTATTAGTTTTAACGTGTCTTAAATCAATCTTTCCAAGGTCTTAAAATTTTTAACAGCTTGTAAGTAGGTTGATTGTGATTTGTCTTAAATATTAAAATAATTGGTAAAATATATTTTTTAAGTAATTTAATGAATAGCTGCTAGTTGTTTTGTGTTAAAATAAACATTTGGCTAAAATTGTCACTAAATGGGTTATTTTTTACCTTTTTTTACATTTTCTTTTTTAATTGTAAAGTTGGTCTTAAATTTAATTTCAAGTGGTTTTAAAGAGGTCTTAAAAAGTCTTAAACTTAACTTTCCTTAAGCTGTAGGAATCCTGACAGACTCACTGGTAAAGTTGCACCTTTTTTTATAAACTCACACAATTAAATCCTAAAGCCCGACTCGATGATGGTTCAGTTCAAGAACTGGTTCCACAGCAGCAGAGTCTCATTATCATTACTGTAGCATCACAATGAATAAACAGATATTGTACATTTTACTGCTCAAAACTTTCAAAGTGTGTGTGACATACATTTCCTACAAATACAAAACTTGGAAGAAAACATCCTAGTATTTAAGAAATTTGACAGAATACACGTAATTTTACCTGTTTTGTCACATAACTTGCATAGTTTTTTTTAATTCTTATAATTTTTTATTTTTTTATTTTTTGAAACTATCACCTTTGGTGTAACCAGAAGTGACACCAGTCCGTGTAGTTTTTTTTCTTTTTAAAAACAGGTATTTTTGATACTTCTCATCCGCTTTACTTTTACCTGAGCTTTCAGTGGTCTGGTTGTTTTTAATACATTAATAAAGTTATCTTTTCAATAATGCATTTGTATTTTTCATGAAAAGGTTAATTCCACCASTTTTAAATCAGCATATGTTTCTGTTGCTTTGTAGCGTTTAAAATTAGTTATAAGAGATGTAAGAAATAGTTAATTAGGGCAGGGTTGTGGAGCAGCTTGTTAGCAGTCGTGCCTCACAGTAAGAAGGTCACAGGTTCAAGTCTCTGTCGATTTCTGTTCTGCTTGTGTAGGGAAGGGTTTTCTCCAGGTCAGGTCTCCTCCTATAACWCAATACAAGCATGTTAGGTTAATTYGAGACTCACAAACTGACCTGGACATTACGTATGTGTGGAAAATTCTATACTGAACCAGAGACCAGACCAGGGTCTTACAAGGACTCTCAGCAGCTCACTGTTGGAGAGAAGCACCATAACCCGGCGGGGTTAATAGAGGATGGATGAAAAAAAAGATTTTTCAGCTCACTCATTTTCTTTGTATCTTTAACACACTGTGAGTATTAATCTAATTGTGGTTTAATTTTAAACCTGCCTGAACAGTTGTCAGTCTGTTGTCAGCTTTAACACACTGAAGAGTTCCTCCACWGCATCAATCTTTACTGTACTCGACTTCAGTATGGGTCAGAGATTCATAGACGTACGTTTCAAACTAAGACTAAGTGTTTTTCTGTGTTTGTTTCTCAGAAAGCAGACGACCGAGAGAAGAGACAGGAAGCCCACCGTTTCCATTTTGATGCCATGTGAAGGAGCAGAACTGCATGATGGGAGAACATCCTCCTCTCACTGCTTCCCTTTGCCAATCAAACACCCTCTTCTTCTCTTCACACACTTTACATTCATTTACAGGGCCAATAATTAATCCTCATCTGCCACATTTTTTTTGTTTGCTTTTCATCCATGAGTGAAAAGTGAAATATTTATTTCATCTTTTTATTTTAGTGTTAGGAATACAGAAGCAACAAACACCAGGAGGTTTAAAAAAGTTCAAAACAGTGATTTTATTTTTATTTTTATTTATTCTGGTGGTGTAGGGACTGATTGTTATCTCTATGGGTTTCAGTTTTAGTAGAGCAGTGTAACGATATGACAAGAACTCTTGTTGAAAAGTCAAACAT